TCAGCATAAACTGGGCTGCCCAAGAACATTCATATAAATCATCTGTCTGTTCCATGACTACATGACAGTGCAAGTGCTCACCAGTGGTGACTTTTCTGGTGTGTTCGGAATCTTGAATGGAGTGAAGTAAGGCTGCATACTTGCTCCAGTGCTGTTCAACTTGTTCTTTGCTTGTGTTCTCAGCCATGCAACAAGGGACTTGGATCAGGGGATATACATCTGCTATCGACTCGATGGTTCCCTCTTTGATCTTCAAAGACTCAATGCTAAGACCAAGACACTGGAGAGACTTCTCGGCGAGGCACTTTTTGCAGATGACTGCCTTGATGGCTCATAGACATGATGACCTTCAGGTCATCGTTGATAGATTTTCTGAAGCATCCCAGATCTTTGGCCTCGCCATCAGTCTCAGGAAGACAGAGGTCTTGTTCCACCCAGCACCTCATTCCAATGCCAGCCATCTTCATCCAAGGCACACAGCTGAAAAATATGGATCAGTTCAAGTATTTGGGCAGTACCATCTCAAGTGATGGTTCCCTTGATAAGGAAATTTCCTCCAGAATTAGTAAAGCCAGCCGGCCCTTGGCAGACTCCGAACAAAAGTCCTTAACCAACACAACATTTGTCGCGCCACCAAATTGAAGATCTATAGTGCAGTGGTTCTAACATCTTTCCTGTATGGATCTGAAACGTGGACTCTTTATAGCTGTCACATTAAACAGCTTGAGCAATTCACATGCATTCCCTCCACTCAATAATGAGCATTCGCTGGCAGGACAGAGTGACCAATATTAAGGTCTTTGAAAGAGCAAACACAACCAGCATTGAGGAAATATTACTGAGAGCACAGCTTAAGGGGACCGGACACGTCATCAGAATGGAAGACCACCATCTTCCAAAACAGATCTGAGTCAGAGCAAAAGAAAGAAGGGTCGTCCATATAAGTGCTTCAAAGATTACTCCTGGGGGAATTCTGCGCTATTGCGTGCATAATTAATGAGCTAGGAAAGAGAAAGAGCCTCCCTTCTTAGCAGCGCCTGTCAAGCCAGGTCAGGAGACAGGGGCTCTGGGGAGACAGATAGTGTGGGGTGCTGGGGGGGGGGTGTCATCAGACAGGGGCTGATGGGGGGGGAGGACAGACTGGGGCAGGTGCTGAATGGGAGTGGAGGCACAGGGCCACGGGGGGAGGGAGGTGCAGGGCCACATGGTGATGGGGAAGAGGTGCAGAGCTACATAGGGACAGGGGAGTGGCTAGGTGGGGGCACAGAAACACATGGAGATGGGGGAGGGTACAGAGCCACATAGGGACAGGGGAAGGGAATGCTGGGCCACATGGGGATGGGGGAGTGGGTGTCTGAGTGGGGATGGAGACACATGTGGAGGGGGGTGCAAGGACACATGGGGGCAGGGGCAGATGTGCCTGACTGAAGGGGAGAGGTTAGGGGTCAGCCAGGGTCTGCATGGAGGAAGCTCCCTAACAATCCCTCCCTACCCCCCAAAAAAACCTGTTCCATACTTTTTCCATCCATACCCAACAACCCTCCAAGTTCACACCCAGGCTCCTTCCCAGCAATTTACTTCCCTCTCCCTCAGCTTCTCCATTACCCCTGACTCCCCCAAGCCTTTGCACTGCTTCTGAAGGGTGCGGGAAACACGGTTCTGTAGTGTAGTTTAAATGAATTATTACTCAGAGTTCTGTATTAATATGCCTAGTAAGGAATCTATTTGTCAAAAAAATTTCCTGTATCTTTTTTGTTTTCTGTATTGTTACAAACATACTTGCTGACAGGTATTTTGAAATAAATGACCAAAAATAATTGAAACTGGTATGATTATATTGTGTTATTTTGACAAATAAAATATGCAGAATTTAAAAATATTGTGTGCAGAAATTTTAATTTTTGGCACAGAATTCCCCTAAGAGTAAAAGATAATCTGAAGAACAGTCTCCAATGGGCTGGCATCAATCCCAAAGAATTTGAGCAAATGGCTCAGAATAGGACTCACTGACTCTGACAAGATCAGCATGTAACAGGTTTGAGCAGAATCGACAAATTCATCTCCAGGCTGCACATGAAAAGTGCCACACAGCTGCATCATCAAACATCATAAATACAGATTTCCCATGCCCTCAGTGTGGTCGACTATGCATCAGGGTTCAGACTTCGGAGTCATATGCATAGCCATAGATGAGAACTGTGACAATATCATAATTGTCAGCGATGGACTACCAACAGCAGGGTCTACATGAGGTAGTTACAGTGCAACATTGCAATTCACACCCCCATAGTCTACAAGGTGTTGTAAGTTAAAAGTGGAGGTAAGTGAGCAGAGAATTTCATAGAAGCGATTGTGAAAGGACAGAAAACAAGGACAAACTGGGGCTGCCCCACCTAGAAGCAGATCGACTTGAAAGAATACCTTTTTAAAAGCTCTAGAAAATATATGGGGCCAAATCCATGCTCTATATAACTCCACTGACTTCAGTGGAGTTGCACCAGAGATAAATTAGTGTCTGAAACTCTTCAATGAAAATAAAACTTATTTGCACAGTGAAAACCTTAACAGCTGTTGCCCGCTACTTTCTAACACTGGGAGATATACTCCCAACTAGTGCTCCTTGTGAGGGATCTGTATCTAGTGACGGCGTCTCCAATCACTGCTAGGATGACTTTATATACAATAGAAAGGCAGACCTTCTGTGATAACACTGTTTCCAAGCAATGCTACTAATGCAGAAAGATAGCGTGCAGACACTGGAAACTTAGGAAAGACTGGCTCATGCATGACTTGTCCTTGCCCATGAACTTAGTGAGATGGTATCTATAGATCCCTCTTTGGCTGTTTATTGACCTTTGTTTATTTCAGTCTTCCTCCATTATGGGGTCCTTTTGTCCATGTTAATTTCTTCTGTTATAGTGGTGGTTAAGGAAGTGTTTGAGAGAAGAGGAAGCTGTGTTTTACTTAGTAAGCAAGACATATTTGCCTCTTTGTATAAGTTCTTGTCAAACTAATTCGATCTACAAATTACCTCTCTTAAAAGTTGATAACTAGCTTTAAATGGAAGGAGAGGAAGGGAAGCATAGAGGGCTGTAAAGCAATTTTGCATTATTGATGCATCCTTCAGGAAGGACAGTCTTGTTAACACATGAGACTGGGAGCCACAAGATTTGAGTCCTATCCTTTACTCTACACTACAGATTTCCTGTATGACTAGATAAATCACTTCACCTGTCAGTTTCCTCAGTTTGAAATGGGAAGAATATTATTTACTACTTATGGTGCCTCACAGGAGGTGTGGTGAGAATTTCACTCTTTACTGTTGGTAAAGCACTTTGAGATCTTTGAAAGAAAAGCACTAGAGAAGTGCAAAGTGTTATTATTACACTTACATCACCAGTCTTTGAGTGATTTTACCATTGTCTTTTAGGTTATTAGGTGATTACCACTACCACTTATGTTGGCAAAACTTATGTCACTCAGGGGTGTGAACAAAACACTGCCTGATTGATATAAGTTTTGCAAGCATAAGCACTCATGTGCACAGCACTATGTTGGCGGGACAGTTTCTCCTGCTGACATAGCTACCACTGCTCATTTAGGTGTTTTTATTATGTCAACAGGAGCGCTCTCTCCGATCGGCATAGAGCAGCTACACGAGCAATCTTACAGCATCGATACAGCTGCATTGGTACAGCTGTGCCACTTTAAGTTTGCTAGTGTAGACATAGCTTTGGTTGTCACTGGTGCTGGACCTTGCTCTCCCTCGATTTTCCTCCCTCCCGGCTTTTAAACTGAAAACATTTTTTTCAAAAGTTTAATTACGACCACGATGGTGGGGTCCCCCATAGTCTTATATTCTCCATCTCCCTTTCTCTACAGTATATATTTTATTCTTTCTATTATGTACCTTCTCTACCTACTTATAGTTTATATGGGTGGTTTGTTTTAAATACTTTTAAAAATGTATTTCTGAATTAATGTAGTTTTCTGAATGATGGAAGTTGCTTTATACATATTTTTAATCAATATACCAACTTGCTGCACTGGCAGGAAGAGTAGGAAAGGCGGCATGAAAAATCATAGGCCTTTGTCACCAATAGTATCAATGAGACACAAGTACTAAAAAGCATACAAAAGAGGATTGGTGGGGCACAGGATATTTTAAATCAGCATGGAAAGAAATAGGCCTGATGTGGAGGGGGCAATCCAGGTACCCACTCTTTTGGTCAAGATATACAATGAGGTTCTGACCATATGGATGTTAAAGAATCTATTGCACACATAAGCGCTGACTCCATGGGTGTTCCAGGGCTGCAGCACCCACATTAAAAAATATGGTGGGTGCTGAGCACCCACCAGCATCCAGTGCCCCACCTCCCCACAGTGCCTCCCGCCCACCAGCTGCCCCTCCGATCAGCACCTTCCCTTCTCTCCCACTGCATCCCGCTCACTGCAGATCAGCTGTTCCGTGCCGTGCAGGAAATACTGGGGAAGGAGGGGGGAGGAGCGAGGGCCAGGCATGCTCAGGGGAGGGGGCAGAACGGGGCAGGAAGAGGCAGGGTGGGGGTAGAGGCTTGGGGGAAGCGGTGGAGCAGGGTCGGGGCCTGTGGCAGAGCTGGGGTGTCAAGCACCCACCACCACATTAGAAAGGCAGCGCCTCTGATGGCACATTTAATAAGTTTAGAAGTGTTATCTCCAGAAACCTGGCTAAATCAAGCTTGAATATTACATTCCATTTTCCTAAATTTTTCTTGTAGTTTCATCTGGATAATTTATCTTTTTCTGTCCTTATACTGTCCTAAACTGTTGTTTAGTGTTTCTATGCTCTGTTAGAAACCTCCTGGGTTTCACTCCAGAGAGGCTGCATGTTTTTGGGTAAAGTGATCCCTGTGTATAATTTCTGAAGCAGTGTGGGATCCTTTGGGGTGAAATGTGCTAGAGAAATTCAAGAGAAGTACCCATTTTGAAAAAGTGTCTCTCTCTCACTCTGCTTGCAGGTTTTGTTCTGGTCATTGGATTGGTAACTTTCTACCGTATAGGGCCCTACACCAACCTGTCCTGGTCTTGCTACCTGAACATTGGGGCCTGCCTCCTGGCCACACTGGCAGCCGCCATCCTCATATGGAACATCCTTCACAGGCGGGAGGACTGCATGGCGCCTCGGGTCATTGTCATTAGCCGTACCCTGACTGCTCACTTCCGCCGGGGGCTGGAGAATGACTATGTTGAGTCACCATGCTGAGAGCATGTGCTTAAAAAGGGAGAGTCCTCTGAGGAGACTTGCATTGGAATTGTTTTCTATAAGTATACATTGTAATTTAAAACTAAGTGTCGAAGGACATCACAAAGCTCACTTCTTTTGAAAAGAGGCCCTCAATTATTATTTGGATGGGCTCCATCTATCTATATATATGTATAATACACACACACATACATATATATATATATATATATATATATATATTTTATACAGCACCTCTCTTCCTCTACTGTACAATGGAAAAATATTAGGTTGTCAGCACAAGCATCCCGATAGAACTTTACAGCCATATGCCAGGAGTTTTCAACTGTGGCAGAGACAGAGTGAGTTTGGTCAGGGTACTGAAAGTGGGAAAAGGGCAACCTACTACTTTAAATTCTTCCCTTATTTTGAATGAAGTTATCCTGCTCCCTAATAATAATGCAACAAGCTCAAGGGCTCAGCTGTGTTCAGAAGCCTCCTTTGGACCCAATAGATAAACAGTCTGACAGAGCAGGAAATTTGTCATGGGTGTCAAAATTTACAAAAGCATAGTTTGGGCTTAGGTAATGTTTCCTTTAAGGTGAGCCTGACCTACCCGATTGTTAGGAACATCTAATTTGGCTGTAACATGTCTTCCACACTGAAGCATGGAACACAATCTATAACCCCAGAAGCAAGTAATATAATTCTAGCCATTTGTAAATTATAGGAGTGTAAAAAAATTAGTGTGTGTGTTTTCAGACACTGTTTTCTCCTTAAAAACAGAGACTTTGGGAGTGTTTAAGTTAATTTTGCAGGCAGCTAGAGGTGCCATTAACACTGAAAGAGAGGTACACAGCTAAAACTCCCTACCCACTGTGCTGAAAGTGCACTCCATTGTTTACACTGTGGGTTAATATCTATGGGAACAGGTTTTACCACGACCTCCCCATACCCCCAAATATACTATTAATTTATTTTGTCAGAAATGGCTACTATGAATGAATATACTAAATTCTCTTTTCCCACAAAGTGTTCAGACTTGGCATGCAATTTTCAAACTTGGGTGCCTAAGTCAGCATGTTCATTCTGCACATACTGGCACACTGGCACCTAAAGCAGATACTTGGGAGCATAATTGCCTCACAAATGCAAATCAGAGCACCCAAATTTGAAAACTGGGCATTTAAGAATTGATCCTTGCAGGTCAGACCCCTCAGTGCCAAATAAATTGGTGGGACCTGAAAGTATTCAGCACCTTGCAAGATCAGACCTCTAGTGCATAAGTGTGATGCTATACAGCATGATGGCTCATGTCAACAATGTGCATGTAGTATCAGGCAGCAAACCAGCAAGCCAAAAACTACACTGCAGAAGTCCCTAAATACAAGAGTTAGAAAAGGACAAGCAGCAATGAGAAATGTTTTTAAAACTTCCAGTATAAGATGTTACCTTGATCATACTCACTGATAAGACTGAATGACTATGAGCTGCGAACATTATAAAATCTCTCTCTGAGGCTGTTATGCTGCTCCCAGCTGAATTCTCTGCTTTTCATCTTTGTCACTGTCTCCTTTATATTTTGCTTCACTTTGTTAAAAAGTGGTCATCAAGTGGCTCTTGAGTTCTATTCTGCACCCAAATTCTCACGTAATAAGGAATGCAGCCCCAGTTGCCACTCTGCACGATGCCCAAAGTCAGTAGCGCTCTACAGAGCTTGATGCTCTAGAACCAAGGACTTCTAGAATTCAGCCCCCCACAATACATTGCTCTAGAGAGCAGAGTTCTATAAAGCTGATAAGAAGTTTTTTCTTATACCAGTTTATAAAAACCAACGGAAGTTTGTTTCCATTTCCCTGACTTATTTTACAGAAAAGCAAGGTATTTTCTAAAAATAATTGTGCTATAATTACAGTTTTTAAAAATAAAGTATTGGAATATTTAAGACATATTATTTCAGCTAATATTGCAATATCTATATTATAATATGTATATTAAAATTTAAAAGTCACCTATGTGGTCAGTAACATTGTAATACTTGGTATTACTGTGTTTATTTTAAATGTATAAATAAAGTGGTGAATGTTCAATTCCCTTTAGATGATGTACTTTGTATTTGAATGGCAAATAATAAGATCAATCATTATTAATCATGTTTTATCTGTTTAACAAAAGAGAATCCACATGGCCAGAATGTTTTATTTGCAAATCTGTCCTTGAAAAGTGATGGCTATCCTTCTGTAACATTTGAAAACTAATTATTTTCATCAGTGGTGCACTGTGATAACAAGTGACAAGGTGTGCGTTTACCCCAGACATCTGACTCCATCAGGTGCACTGAAAGGCCCAAGGCCAGAGGCCAAGTGTTTTCAACAGACTAAGAAGTGTAGATGTTTAGTTAAGTCCTGACTTGTGCAGCTGTACAATATGCCTGAACAACTGCATCTTTCAGCACACATTAATATTTTCATAATGTCCATTTTGTAATGAATCATGATTCAGGTTAGATGTATTCAACATACCATAATATTATCTACCTATAGTAAGAAGGGAGCCTGAGACATAAGCCCTTGTATCCAAGACCTGGTGTGAGGCCTGAACAAAAGTAGTGGTCAAGCTTTGCTGATATAGAGCATAGTAGCAAAGTTAGCAGAGGTCAGGCTCTGCCTGCTTGCAAGCTCACAGAACCTGGCAAGAACAGGGCTGGTATTGCAAAAAACACACACATTCCTAAAAAAGGCTAGGCACAGGACACTCACACAAACACATTCCAGAAGGATGGTACCAGAACAACCCGACAGTCAATACGGTACAAACACTCCCCCGCCCCCAAAGATAACAAGAACACATTGACCGCTCTTAAAGATAAGGTCAGGATGACAGTGTGATGAATAGAGATGTTTTGATTGAGCCAACATATACAAGGTAATGGGTGGTAACAAGCCACATGAGGGGGCAGTAACTAACTATGTCAGAGGGGCAATATGTAACTTGTTTGTATCGGTGTATAAAATGGAGTCTCAGAGAGTGTGTCTTTAGCTGGCCTAGGGGACAGTGGAAAGTCCCGCCACTAATAAAATATGGAGATATACCTATCTCATAGAACTGGAAGGGACCTTGAAAGGTTATTGAGTCCCCTGCCTTCACTAGCAGGACCAAGTACTGTCCCTGAAATTTTTTTTTTTTTGCCCCAGATCCCTAAATGACCCCTCAAGGATTGAACTCACAACCCTGGGTTTAGCAGGCCAATGCTCAAACCACTGAGCTATCCCTCCCCCCTAACTGAGCTAGTCCATTGCAACAGGCATACATGTGTTAGTGTATAACCTACAACCATTGAGCCGGGGCATTAGGACCGTGCTTCGTTGACAAAAAACCTCACTGAGTGCCTTCATAACTTAGAAGTGTGATGGGTTGGGTCACAGAAACCCCCTTGGGGCTGCCAACTGATGTGCCAAGACTACTTCTGCCCCTGCTTTCCCTGCCCTCCCAGCTTGGGACTCCAGCACCCTCTCTTGTTGAGCCAGACATGCCAGTCTGCTCCAACACAGACCCAGGGTCTGAACCACATGCCCCAAAGCTGCAGACTTAACTGAAAGCAACTTAAGAAGTGTTCCTGTCTTTAACACTCAGATGCCCAACTCCCAATGGGGTCCAAACCCCAAATAAATCCATTTTACCCTGTATAAAGCTTATACAGGGTAAACTCATAAATTGTTCGCCCTCTAGAACACTGATAGAGAGATATGCACAGCTGTTTGCCCCACCCACCCAGGTATTAATACATACTCTGGGTTAATTAATAAGTAAAAAGTGATTTTATTAAATACAGAAAGTAGGATTTAAATGGTTCCAAGTAGTAACAGACAGAAAAAAGCGAATTGTGAACAAGTCTATGTCTATGTCTAATACAGTAATAAAACTGAATACAGATAAAATCTCACCCTCAGAGATGTTTCAATAAGTTTCTTTCACAGACTGGAAGCCTTCCTAGTCTGGGCACAATCCTTTCCCTGGTATAGCCCTTGTTCCAGCTCAGGTAGCAGGTAGGAGATTTCTCATGATGGCCGCCCCCTTTGTTCTGTTCCACCCACTTATATAGCTTTGGCACAAGGCAGGAATCTTTTGTCTCTCTGGGTCCCCCCCCTTCTAAATGGAAAGACACCAGGTTAAAGATGGATTCCACTTCAGATGACATGATCACGTCACTGTAAAACTTCGTTACCCACTTGCCAGCACACACGTACACAGGAAGACTTACAAGTAAAACAGAGCCATTTACAGACAATTGTCCTGGTTAATAAGGAGCCATCAAGATTCCAAACCACCATTAATGGCCCACACTGCATAATTACAATAGGCCCTCAGAGTTATATTTCATATTTCTAATTTCAGATACAAGAGTGATACATTTATACAAATAGGATGACCACACTCAGTAGATTATAAGCTTTGTAATGATCCCTTACAAGAGACCTTTTGCATGAAGCATATTCCAGTTACATTATATTCATACTCATTAGCATATTTTCATAAAATCATATAGAGTGCAATGTCACAAACGGATCTTGTGGTCATTAGGCAGTTTGCTTGAGGTCTGCTGTGCCAGCTATCTATGCAGAGCTGGGTCAGCACACAGAGAGAACACACACGCAGTCAACATCTGACAACACTACCAATTAATAGCATTAAAATTAACATGAGCATGGGTACTAAGATGAGATGTCCAATATCATACAGTCATAGAAGTTCATTTGACTGCTGCTGACCATGCCAGGTACATCCCATCTGCTGTACTGCTAGATGCACTAGGTATGTCCTGACATTTCATTGTTCTCAGTGGATGACACCACCACGACAGGTATAGTACAAGACCAGCAAAGAAAAAGTTAATATAATACCTAAAGGGTAAAGGTTTCAACTTGTTTAGGACGACAGAGTGTGAATGAGGGTAAAGAGAAGGAGGAAAAATTGAAGAAGTCTAAAGGGAACAAAACTTCATATGATCTCAATATTTAGATCCCACCTTTTGATGAGTTTGATGGATTTGAAGGCCTCATCCATGTCCCCAATTGTTAGATAGAAGCTGAAGTTCAGCATAGCTTCACGGGTAGTTTTGTCACACTCTTCCAGACCAATGAAATCTCTCATGGGCCTTTTGGCAACCATTTGTGAGAGTTGTACTGAGCCAGATTCCACTTGTGCTTCTTTCTCGGCTTCTCCTGGCTGAAAGGAAAACTACCATCACTCAGGTGCCAAGCAGGCTTCAACACACTCCCTTGACCTACAGATACAGATTTCTACAAGATTTTAACCATATGACTACTTGAAGTCAATGACAAAACTCCCTTAAACTTAAATGGGAGGAGGGTCAAACTCTTACAGTTGTCAGAATAATTAATACTATACTACTTTTCAAAGTGCCTTTGAATATAGGAAGGAGTATTTCTAAAAATTACTAAAGCACATAAGTCATGAGGCTCAACATTTGTATTTCATCAGTTACAGATAAGAGGTTTGTACAGTATCCCAGAAGGAGCAGGAGTAACTATTACAGTTAAGGTTGCATTATAGTTTCTATAATAATCCCTACATTTCTGAACCTTTCAGGCTGAAAGTTTCTATGACTGGTCTCTGCCCAATGGTGAATTTATTTTTTAAGTTAACTATCCAGAACCTCTTATTTTTTACTCCTGTCTTCCCATTATTAGTACTCAGATTCACAACCATATTCCACAAAAATGGCAACTTTGGAGTCCCCGGAGCCTCAGTAAGATCTAAATTACAACTCCACTCAGAGCCACCACAGGGCAATTTAACTATTCTTCTGAACAAAACAAGAGATATCCCTTTGCTGTGTCACCAGCACCAAATAGTCTCTTTAGACTTTAAGAATTAACTTTTTACAAGCCAAACACAATGAAACATCTTGGTCTGAGCCACCGTGGATGCGGAACCATCCTCATTCTAACTAATTTAGGCAGTCTATTCAAGCCATTTTCACTGCCAGAGAAGTGTAGGGAAAAGCCATATGTTAATATTTAAGGGAGCTAATCTAAAAACTATGCCAGAGCACATTTAAAGCCACATATTAATGAATAAAACACCTGAAGTATTAGCCAGACTAAGTAATGCAAACCGCAGTGCAAATGAATGTTAGATACAATTTGGGGAATTCCTGGTTCAGGAGAGGCAAAGACATTGTTAGGTCGACTTACAGTCACCATAGTAATTACTGTGGTGGTTCATGTCCACACTACTCTCCTTCTGTCGGTGGTGTGCGCGTCCTCACCAGAAGCACTTCTACTTAAGAGGGGCAGTGTCGGGGGCTGAGAGCCCAGGCTCTCAACTCTGCCCGGCTGAAACCCCACCCCCCACGGGCTCTCCACGGGGAGCCAGGAGCCTCGGTGCAGCTAGGCTCCCTGCAGAGAACCGGGACCCCGCAGAGTGGGCAGTACCCAGGATCCCTGCAGGGAGTGGGGAGTCGGGTGGGTGCAGTCTGACTCAGAACGGGGAGCTGGGTTGGGACCGCCCTCCCAGCAGGGAGCCAGGTGGGCACAGCCTGGCTCAGAGCGGGGACACTGGGGGGGGGGGGCAGCCTGGCTGTAAGTAAAGCAGGCACAGCCTGGCTGGGAGTGAGGAGCTGGGACCCCAGGGGGGCAGTCCAGCTCAGAGCAGGGAGCCTGGGCAGTAGCACATCTGGGAGCGGCAAGCCAGGAGTCCAGGGGGAAGCTGGGCTCCAGCTGGAGCCCCGCCACCTTCCCCAGGGTGACAGCCCAAGCTGTGAGCCGGGCTTTCTTGTGAATTTCACGGCTCCAACATGGAGTAAGCAAGTAACCTGCAGAGTCTACACAGACACAGTTGCCCTAACTACACCAACATAAGCCCTATGCCTTTCATGAAGGTGGTGTTATTATGGCGATGTAGCAGGGCACTTACATAGGTGGGAGCAAGACTATAGTCTGGACCCTGACATAATTTGGTCGATGTAAGCTGCCTTACGTCAACCTAACTCTGTAGTGTAGACCAGATCTAAGACAGGTTTGTTGTGTCAAATGGACTTTTCCATGTTTAAAATAGTCACAAGACTAGGATATGTTTACTGTGTCAGTAAATAAATAACAAGTAATTCAGCCTTTAAAAGAAATGTACTGATTGAAAAAAAAAAATGGAGGGGGAAAGAGGCAGATGAATGAAGACTGTGGAAGGGGGCAGTTATAGATACTTACAACAGGCTTATAGACACATCCTCTCCGAAACAACAACTAATGGCAGCAAAAAACAATACAGAAGGAGAAAGAGAGAGGTAAAAATTAAAGTAAAAGATAAACAGAGCATGAAGAAAAACATGCATAAGGTGGAATTGGAATGTAGCAGCTCTTTTTTTCAATCTTGCAATTTATGGAAAGGGAAAACAAAATTAGATGCAATCCAGATAAAAGCCAGTTCTGCTTGGAAAGGTTCTATTCTATTCTATTTATTAGAAACAGGTTTGGGTTGCAAAGTTCTGGCTCTAAATTCCCCAAAGTTTGAGACAATCCAGATGTAGGTTTCTTGTGTAGTCTCTTTTCTTAAGAGATTAGGAGCTAACCACAAAGTTTGGATCCACATTCAAACTTACCAAAAGTTACAGGGTGGTTGAGTGTAACTTGCACCAATTAGGCATTCAATGGTAGTGGAAGATGAGTGTAACTTATACCCATTTGGTATTTAGTGGGGACTAAATTCAGTCCTGATGTAAGTAGGTTGCAGCTCCTATTGAAGTTAATAGGAACTGCACCTACTTATGCCAGAGTTAAATTTTACACCCAAGAGTATCAGGGATGGTAAAGGCATAAATTAAAGTAGAAACGGGATTATTTTACACTTTTGTTAGTTGGTTTTCCTGATAACTGCTCCATCTCTTTTGCTTGTATATCACTCACCTTTTGCACATCCATGGAATGCCAGATTAGTTCAATTTACATTACATTGTCAATACATCCATTTTATTACTACCTTTGGGTATGACCATACTGTGATAAAAGACCCAAGGACTCGGGCTCACAAGGCTAAGGCTGCAGGCTTCAAGAACCTGCAAAGGGGGAGGGTCTCAGAGCCCAGGCTCCAGCCTGAGCCTGAATATCTACAATGCAATTTTTAGTCTTGCAGCCTGAGCCCCGTGAGCCTGAGTCAACTGACCTGAGCTCTGAGATTTCGGGTCACATTTTTTTTTATTGCAGTGTAGAAATATCCTTTGTCACAACTTTCACTGGCGCTGCACCTACTTACTCCAAGCTCCATTTGGCTGTATCTGGCCTCAAGTGCAAAGAAAGGTGTCAGCATGTGGTTGTGGCAGAAGTAGAAAAGGATGTCCTCTTTGTGATCTCTCACCTTTTTTGCAAAGTAATAATGTGGCACCTCGATGCCCAGAAGAGCCTGGTAGGTTGAAGGCAACGGGAAGCTGTCCTGAAGCAAAAGGCCATGCTCTTCAGTACTGAAGAATGATATAATCAAAACATCCGGCTGGAAGGGGAAATAAAATATTGTTTTGTTTTTATTTTCCATTTTCAATTGGCAGAGTCTTCACTTGAACAAAAACACCACACAAACACCTGCTGGTGAGGGCAGAGCAACAGGCTTCCTCCCTACAGTAAGTGGCCAGCAAGTCATTCTACACTTTAAACTATGTTTGCATTGGGCCAGTCACCTCTGCCTCTCAGGAACCAGCCTCCCCATCCCTGAAGAGGGAAGCCCCGGTAGCACACTCCTGCTCTGGAAGTCTCTGTTTTAAAGACCCAACATAGGCATAAAGAAACACTCACAACTGCTTTTAAGTTATTTTTAATCCAGCATCATTCCTAGTGCCATTTTAAAAGCTCAAACAAAGTGTTTCACTACAGACATTCTTTTCTATGGGTATGTCTACACCGCCGACATTAAAAAGCTGCCACTTTAATGTGGCTGTGTTGTCACGGCTCCAGCTCTCCCAGTGCTGTAATAAAACCATCTCCACGAGGGGAATAGCTACCAGCACTATCTACACTGCCACTTTACAGTGTTGAAACTTGCATTGCTCAGCGGGGTGTTTTTTCAAGTGTAGACAAGTTTTTCAGTGTAGACAAGGCCTAAGGCTTTAGTTGTCATTCAGCAACCAAAACATAGATGACTACTATTTAACCTTCTGTGTGCATAACAATATCCCTGGAGGTCAGTAACCCTCCCTGTAGGTTTGAAGAACAATATTTGTTAGTTTACTATTGCTGCTCAGCAGTAGCAGGAGCTCACAGATTGTTTTGGGTTATCACACCAATATCAGAGTTATTTGCTAATTCAGCAAAGCACTTAAGCACACACTTAACTTGAAGCATCTAGTCCCAACTGAAGTCAGTGGAACCGCTCACAAGTTTAATATTAAGCACAAGTTTAAGTGCTTTGCTGAATAGAGGGTCTCAAACTAAAAATTGTTTGACCCTTTTCTGCTTCTTTATGTTTAAAGACCCAAAATTATTTAAATGCTAAACATTTTGTTCTGCTTCTTCTTCATATTAGAAATATCAAGTCTTTATTTCCTTCTCCACTTCAAAAAAAAATGTAAAAAAAGCAGATAAGAGCCATTTCTGGGAAGTGCAATAAAGAGGTATAAAGGCTATCTCAAAGAAGCAATATAGAGGAAAGACTTCTTTTTTTTTTGGTACTTTGCAGTTCAACTTTAACTGAAGGGTCTTTATCATTCTAAGTAAACATATCTTGTTACTAGAGAGGGGCCCAAGAGACAAAATTTGGATCCATATTTCAAAATGGAATGGTGTTTCAGATCTGGGATTTTGGGTTTGATCCACTGATAAACAGACCTCACTTGCACAATTCTAATCCAGATCCAAGCTTGGATTTTGAATATTTCCAAATTTCAGATATTGGTTCAGGCCCACATCTACCTGCGACACTGAGATTTGGGTTCCTTCATAGAGTTATGTCCCTTCCTCTCTTACTTTGTAACTTGCAGTGTTTTTCATGTTTTTTCTCAGCTATATATACTTATGGGGGAAAACCCCCACAGATGAGCAATGAAGAGCAGCATTAGAGCCTTCTGCAAACCCTCCAGAAAAGCCCCAATGATCTCATGATGAAAATCAATATCTTTGAGTTTCTGTGGGAATAAACAAAACTAAAACACCCTGGGCTGTTTGTTACTGATTTGAGCTTACAAAAACCACAATATGAGTGCTCTAGGTAGTTTCAGGAAAAACATTTTGAACTAGCCTCCTGCTCATAAGATTTTCCTATTTTCTTACCACGAGTTCTAATATTTTCAGCATGAAACCCCCTGCTAACAACAAAATGTATTATGACCAATAGAAGTCACAAGTACCAGACTCTTAAAAGTTTGTTTGGCTGCTACCTTCTGTGCACCTGATCACAGTATCAACACAGATAATTTAGTGAAGGCCAGAACCAATAGTTTATTACTGGGATAAAAACAAATCAGAGCAGAGCAAGAGAAAAAAAACATACTGTGCTTTCTGAGCTCTCTGTCTGCCGCTGCTGCTTGTCTGGAAACTGCAGGCTTGGTTCAAGGACTGCTTCACATACGAAAAGTCTTGGTTCACCATGGTCCCAAAAGTGGCTAACAGGGATGCGATCTTGCAGTTCTGGATACTCAGTGACACTCCTGCAAAATCAAATGGAGGACAAACATGTAAAGACAGGTGGAACATGTCCCGGGCTGCTTATTCAATTCATTAACATAAATAAGGGATGAAACATACCATGGGATAGCCCCAAAATGATCATCCTATATATAATATAAATGTTTAAAATTTCCTAAAAGTGCAGTCAAGGTACAATAAACTATCATAATAAATACAAATATTCATTGTATTAGGTTCAACCTCATAATAGCAATGCAAAGAGTTCCAGGTTTGACACATTACTCAAGTATTTATAGCTTGCCCAACACCTTCATATCACATGTCCTCTTATGTATTTTATTTCACAACACATTTATAGAATCCCCTGGGAAAGATGTATAATATTCACTCCTGGTGTTTTTTCTTTAGGAGTACTGGGTTACTAGCTGTCAAGGCTGAATCCCCACTCTGTTACTCCGAGTGCAGAAGTGGGGCCCGCAAGGATTTTAAAAATTAATACTTGCCACTCCAGGCTTGTATTAAACTCCCAAGGTTACACCTTTTCTCTGACCTTGGCTTGGTAAACGCTGCCACCACCCAAATGCAACAAAAGTCCCTTTGAACCCAAGAAGGAGCACTTGGGAATACCTCCCTGTGGAGTGCCCTCAAGCCCTTTCACACACACACACACACACACACACACACACACACACACACACACAC